CTTGTAAGAAGATTATACATTTTTTACCCTGCCGTTCCTATCCATCAAGGGGTATTCTTCCTTGTCCCATTGGTAGGGGTTTTGGCCATGTGACTTCCTTTGGCCAATTACACTTAGCCAATGTAATAAATAACACTAAATGGTTGGCTGTAACACTGCCTTCCATGTGCTATAGGGTTGGAATGAGCTAAACGGATGGGCTGCTTCTCCAGCCCGGGTCTGAGAATGAGAAGCCATGTGGAGTAGAGTCACAACCTGCCTGCAGCCTACACGTAACAGGAATACTAAATAAACCTTTATTTTATAAGCCCCAGAGATTTGGGGGCTCATTATTACAGCAAAGCTGACAAGGCACCAGGAGTGAAATGCTTCTTAACAAAAAACCTAAAAGATGTGGCATTGGCTTCTGGCCAGTATGTGACAAGGAAACTTTAATTAAGGACAGGAAAAAAATGACAATCTCTGATATGGAGTGGTGAATATCTGGTATAACGCTGTTCACAATAATTTGAAGGCAGATAATACACTTAATATATTTGTGACTTTAGGTAAAAATGTGGGGAATAGAATGTCGCTATTGTGCCATGGTTGTTGTTAGATGCATTTGACAAGTAACTATAAAGAGGAAATGAGCTCAGAAAATAACTGGCCAAGCAGGGATGAGAGGAAGAAGAGAATATAGAAGTATTAAAACTTGGCAGGGTTGAAATATACTACCATTTCTCTTATCTACCAGTAAAAGATAAAATTTAGAAATGCACTTAGCAACAGGCCAATTAAGATTCAAACTTGGGTTGAAGAATATGAGTAAGTCAAGGGGTGAGGCTACCACACCACTTGTTGAAACCTTTAAATGTATTAAGGTGCCCCCTCCTCACACATAAACCCTTCTCGCTGGACAGAATGGCTCAGAGAAAAGAGATAAGGGCATGTGTATCCAACAAACAAAAAGAAGTAAGCTCAAACTGCTTGTAAGGAAGGTCGGGTGGTCTTGAAAAAAGTTATAGCTGTGGCTATTGGCACATGGATCTAACTGGAATCAAATAGGTATAAAGCTAATTGCATTTTTGTGGTTTGTGTGTGTGTGTGTGGGGGGGCGGGGAGCGGATAAGGGGGCTGTCAAAAGAGCCACCAGCCTAAATTTAAAAAGTCCTTGACTATTCAAGACCAAAGCAAACCTTTGGGTCCCCAAATGTCTACAGGCAGAAAGAAGGCTGAGAAAAATGCTGCTAAAGACTTAGAAGCCCTCTTTTTGACTAGTTCCCTTCTCCCCGCCCTCTCTCTAGCAAGAATTCCTCCCTTCCTTGATATCCAATCACCTTCAATATCTGATCAAATGACTGCTCATCTCCCACCTCTGATACCTGATCACCTGTGGCTTGCCTTCAGCAGAAATCCTGTTATCACTTGATGTTTTCCTTTTATAATTTACATCCATTGACCCCTTGATTTGCTCATTGACTAACCTCCCTGAATTTGGAGTCGAGCCCTGGTCTTTACACATATTGCAAATAGTCCTAAATAGAGTCTTCCTTACCATTTTAGCAAATGTCAGAATCATTTTTTCTTTAACAATGCTCCGTCACAAAGGAGGGCATATTGTTCAGTACCTCTTTCAATGCAACCAAGGAGGATAATGTCAGAGGAAAGGCCTCTTAGAGGGTAGAGCCAGGAGTCATGGAGAAAAACCCGCCTAGAGAATTACTTCCAGCAAGTAGAACTAGAACCCAGTCAAGGAACATTTCCTCCCCACAGAGGAGGAGGCCTTGGCAACATTTGCCCAGGGGGTTTTAGAATTGCTAGTGATAAGTGACTGCTGCATAGCAGTCATCTCCCATTCTTCGCCTTTCCTGCGTGTTTGTTGTTATCTTATTCCCGAGCTACTAGTTTATCTTATTTATATAACTTGTGTTTTAGTCCCTGTGCCTCTGAAGGAGTGAACACATCCAGATATGAAAGAGACTCCGAAGTGTGCATTGATAATGGAATGGAATTTTGCATGAGGGGAGGAGAAGAGCAGCTCTTCATGACCCAGAGGGTGAACTGTGGCAGACCGTGCCATTGTCCCCCCCCCCTCTTTTTCTTCTCCCTTTCCCTTAAAGAAGATTATTCATCCTCACCCATCGCCATGTGATTTGCAGTAACCCTCCCCACCCCACTCTGCCACCACAGGAGGGGTATATATTGCGGAATAAGTAGACCACCCAAATGAGAACAAACAGAGGCTATTTATTCAGAGTTTGCTATGTAGCAGGGCAGTCAGCCTCCATCACTTGCATTTGGCAGAGAGTCAAAGGCAGCAGGGAGTGGGAGAGCTATTTTATAGTGAGAGAGGGAAGGCTTCAGGTATGCTGATTGGAGGTCCCTGGCCGGCTCCCTGGACGTGGGGGATGTTGGATGATTGGTCTGAGAGCACATTTAGTTTTCTCTAGTGAATCCTGAGTTTGAAGCGGGAGCAGAAACAACCTGGCGGCTATTGGCCAACTCCTGACCACTTGGGACCGATTGCTACAGAGGCTGTGGTTTAGCTTCCTGGGCTGCGTGCTGCCCAGGTTGTGGGTTAGGGTTTTAGTGCATCAGTCTGGTCATTATCCACTTGCATATTCTTTCTCTCCTCTTCTCTGTTTTCTTGACGTCAAGCTTAGCAATGGGGTTTCTTTGGCCAGTAGGATGTGCGTGGGCATGGTACATGCCATATTTGAGCAGAAGGTTTAAGAGCCACTGTGTGTTTAACTCTGGCCCCCTTTTCCTTCTGCCATGAGAATAGCATGTCCCACAGAGGGGCTGCTGCTGTAGCCTGGCTTCCAGTACGTGAGGACATAGGGATCAGAGCCTACCCAGTGCCAACAACACAGCTGCAGTGGACTGGAGTTTATGTGACCTGTCAGTGAAAAAAGGAACCTTCCTTTCATAAGCCATTATTAATTCAGGTTTGTTGTTTATGCAACAGAGCTAATTAATGCACTCATCCTCTGGCTTGGATCAGAGAAGACTCTGGCAAAGGGGTGGTTCTGCTTTGAGGAAATCTAAATAAAGGGCTCAGGGCATGTTTTTCTATAAGAAAGAAAATATCTGTACTAATATTCATAATATTGATAATAAGAGCTACTATCTATACGTAGTGATTTTGAGCTCTTCATGTAATGCTATGAAGAAATGTAATTCACCAGAATTCCTCTTTGAAAAGGGGAGCTGTCTTTGCTAGAAAAACACTGCGATGACTAAGTAAGTGAGGCAGGGAGAGGATGTAGGTGTGGGCAGAACTGCTCTTGCTAAGTGGAGGGAGTTTGTTGGTGGTGTTGTTGAACCAGAGAGAAAAGAGGACTAGGGAAAGAGACAGACAGGGAGCGAACCAGGGAGGTGGTAGGAGACTGCAGTGCTCAGTAGAGTCCTCCCCGTGAGCCCTTCCCTCCAAATCTCAGGTATGTTTATGAAATTTACGCAGCATGTGGGTCAGGAAACTGGGGGACATTGCAGAGTGACTGAGCTGCCCTCCAGATTGAGATGCTGAGGCAGCCTGGTGGATGCAGAAATAACAGAAATAGAGACAACTGTGGACATGAACCGCTGGAAGTTACAGAAGTTGTGGGAAGGGCTTTCCATTGTCACAGGTTGGAGAGTTGGGCCAAATTCCACCAGTTTTCTAAGTCTTAGAGGGCTCCTGCTAATGAATAAATTATATTAACAAAAGCCTACAAGTAAATATTACTCCCATTTCATGGATAAGGAAATTGAGACCCACAGCAATGATACAACTTGCCTTAAATGCTATAACCTGCCTTAAATCAGGCAGTGAGTAATTTGAACAGCTGGGATGAAAGTCTGCTATGAAGTCTCCAGAGGCTGTGCTCTTGGAGCTCTGTGATTCTGGGCCATGCTAAATTTAAATTTTGATGATACATTTGTAGCCTCTCAAAAATTTTTTTATATAGTTAATTATTTATGGAAACCTTTACTTAAATCTTTCTTTTATTATTGAAATTCTAGCTATGCGCCTTTTTAATGTATTCAACACAACTTTTTTAAAACTGCAAATTGTTTATGTCACTTCTGACTTAAACCCCCGTGGAGGTGAAGGAGCGAGTTCAACTTCCTTGCCAGGGCACCCATGCCCAATCTGACCTGGGCCACCAGGCCACCCGCTCCAATTTCAGCTCACGCCACACTCCGCCTCTGTCTGAATTCCAGCTGCTCTGGCTTTTTCAAAGGCACCACTGTAGTCTTGCATTTACCCTTTTCCTAGAAGGTTCTCCCCACTATTCCTACCCCCTTGTCAAAAAAGAAAAAAAAAACCATATCATGGAACTAAGCCCTACTCATTGTGCAGATTTCATTTTAAATATTTCTTCTTCAGTGCAGCCTGCCCTAGCACCTGCCCACCCCTCAGATTAGGTCATGTCTTCTTGTCACGTATTCTCATAGCTTTTTGTCCTTCTTCTTCATAAGTACTTGTCTTAGGTTGTAACTATGAACCTCTGGGATTGTTAGTTTAACGAGGGGCTATAGAGTTGTAGTGGTTACGAGGGAAAGTGATGAGGTCACATTGCCTGGGTTTAAGCCTCAGTTCTGCAATTTATTAACAGGAAAGGCCTGGCCCAATTATTTAAGATCTTTGCGTCTCATTTTTCTCTTCTGTATAATGGGCATGATATAACAGTACCTACTTCTGGGAAATTACTGTTTCTCTACACTCTCACGAAGAACACTTCTGACACCACACACACATAATAATTCAGTTCAGTTCTCTGGTGGACATTGACGGGATGTCCTACAATTTAACTCAATTATGACACTAACTGCCCAGAGTTAGTGCAGACTCCACAGGTTAAGGGCTTGGTCCCACAAGGCTGCCTGCCTTCAGACACCAATCGCAAGTGGTATATCTCCAGGTTACCCACAATTTCTGTCTGCACCCACAAATCGGGTGTTTCCACAACCCCCTCCTCAGGTTTGATAGCATGCCATAATGGCTCATCAAACTCCAATAAACATTTACTTACATTTACTGGTTTATTATAAAGAAGACGGATGAACAGCCAGGCGAAGAGGTACATAGCGCAAGTCTGGAAGGGTCTTGAGTGCAGGAGCTTGAGTCCCTGTAGGGTTGAGGTTAGCTAAACTGGAAACTCACCAAATTCCTTGGTTCAAGAGTCTTTATTGAGCTTTAATCTCCAGCCCCACCCCTTCCCAAAGATTGGTGGCTGGGCTGCAAGTTCCAGCTCTCTAATCACATGGTCTTCCTTGTGACTAGCCCCATCCTGAGATGATGTAGCATAAGCTTCTGTGTGATCAAAGGACTTGTTATGAAGAGCAAAACACACTCCTATCACTTAGGAAATTACAAGGGTTTTAAGAACTCTGTATAAAAACCAAATGCTCTAACAAAAGATGCTCTTATCACCCTTGTCACTCAGAAAAATACAAAGGTGTTAGGAGCTCTGGGACAGGAATCCAGAATGAAGACCAAATCTATATTTCTAATTACACACTACTTCATATGGCTATAATGAGAAGTAAATGAGTCAGCAATGGAGTGCTTTGTGTAAAGGGGATCACGCTCAAATTTAAATGAAAAACGGACCTACTCTTAAAATCAGTTTCTTGGAGGTAAAGCAAATTGGAAGATGAACTGGATATGCAGAAGTAGATACATGGACGGTCATCCTTCTGTGTCCTCGGGGGGGTCCTAGAACCAGTCCCCGGAGGTTAGCAAAATTCGGGGATGCTCAAGTCCCTTGTATAAAATGGCATAATATTTGCATGTAATTTGCACACATCCTCCCGTATACTTTAAATCATCTCTAGATTACTTATAATACCTAATACAATGTAATTGTTCTACTGTATTGTTTAGGAAGTAGTCTGTCTGTACAAGGTCAGTTCAGATGCAGCCATCATAGGCCTAATTACATAGTATATGTCAACAACAACTTTTATTTCAAATATTTTTGATCTGCAGTTGGTTGAGTCTGTGAATATGGAACTCAAGGTTTCAGAGGGCTAACTGTACACTTCTTTTTAGTATTGAAGGAAATTAATAGACTCAGATAAACAGATTGAAATAGCATTTTGTAATACGTCTTTCTTCTTTGAGCCTGAATGGTATGGTCATTAAACCATGAGTTTAGAAAAGGGTTTCAATATTCACTGATCTACATGGTGCATTATATGTAATAATTACTTGTTAGGCAGTATGAACAGAAGGTTATTGAAGCTGAAGGTAGAAAACTTAAAATAATAAATTTAGTCAAGGGAAAATATGTTGATAAAGTGTAGAATGCACTATTTCATTTGTCTAATTGCATGACCCACATGTTACCCCCTAATCTATCTACATTGGATAACCTCATTTTTTGTAGCCTACAACTATAGCCTCTTGCCTGCCTAGAATAGCCAAAACAATTTTTTTTGTTTGTTTTTTTTTGTGTTTTTTTTTAGCTGAGCCATCCTGCTACCTGTTGGCAGCTCAGCTGCTGCTCAGCTCGGGCTGGACTCGAACCGCTGTTGCTCAGAGCTCAAACTCTTGAGAGAGCTCTTAACCAACTGAGCCACTCGGCCGGCCCCTTGCCAAAACAGTTTTTAAGAACAATGTTGTATGACTTACAGTACCAGATATCAAGGTTTATAAAAGTTAAGACAATGTGGCACTGTTGCAAGTACAGAAAAATAAGCAATCAAACAGACGAAAGGACCCAGGAAAAGACCTTCGCATATGTAGAATTCCAGAATAGGACAGACGTAGCATTAAAATTAGAGGGATAAGGACAAACTATTTAACACACAGTGCTGACATAACTGGTTATCTATATGCAGAACATAAATTGCTGTCTCATCTATCTAAAAAAATAAATTCCATATTTATTACAGAAATAAAAATGGAAAAACTCAAGACTTCTAAAAGAAGATGTAGGAAAATATCTTCATGATATGTAAGAAAGGGTTTCTTAGAGAAGAAGCAAAAAACATGGAAAAGCTCGATAAATTTAACTGCATTAATGTGAAAATTTTTGTATAGCAAAAATAACATTAGTAAAATGAAAAGGCATGTCACTAGATAGAAGGTGTTTGCAATTGCAGAAATTTAGTATCCATAAAATATGAAGAATGCATATAAATCAATAAAGAAATAAGCAATTCAATAGAAAAATGAATAAGTCATATTACCAGACAATTTACTAAAAAAGAAAACTGAATAACCAACCAACAGATGAAAAATCAGTAATCAGGAATTACAAAACAAAAAGAGATCCTTTTTTTACCCATCAATTTAACAAAAATTAAGTGTCATAATAACAAATTTTGGTGGAATTTTCTGATGAGTATGTAAATTGGCACAATAGTTTGGAGAACATTTTGGCAATATCTAGTAAAGTTAAATATATATGTATTTCCCCATGTATAAGATGCTCCCAATGTATAAGACGCACCTTAATTTTGGGGCCCGAAATTTGAAAAAAAATGTATTACATAACGTTATTGAACTCAAGTTTTATTCATCATAAAATTCATACAACTCCTCATCACTGTCAAAACTCCCAACCATTAGCTTGTCCTCATCTGTGTCTGATGACAAATCACTGTCTTCATATATTGCCTCTCGTGGCCTTCTTCTGCCGTGGTGTTTTCAGTAGGGTTTCTTCTTCCCGTAGCCAGTCTCAGATTGTTTTCTCAGTTGGAGGAGGACCAGACTTACGTTCAGCAGCACGATTTCCATTCAGTTTTGCAAAATGGATCACTTTTAACTTGAATTCAGCACTGTACAAAAATCTTTTCTGAACCATTTCTTGGCAGAACATGGCAAAATGTAACCTACCGTAATATACCGGTAACAAGTGCGAAACAATGAGTGCAAAGATAACAAACGCAAAAAAGGGGAAAATGCAAGTAAAAAAACTACAACAATGAGCGCAAAAACAAGTGCAAAAAAAGTTGGAAATGCAAGTAAAAAATCTACAATCACTGTATAAGACGCACCCAGTTTTTAGACCCCAATTTTTTTTTTTTTTTTTAAAGCTGAGCCATCCTGCTACCTGTTGGCAGCTCAGCGGCTGCTCAGCTCGGGCTGGACTTGAACCGCTGTTGCTCAGAGTTCAAACTCTTGAGCGAGCTCTTAATCAACTGAGCCACTCGGCTGGCCCTCCCAAATTTTTTTAAAAAGGGTGCGTCTTATATTTGGGGAAATACGGTATATATTTATATTATTTATATATATATAATATAAATAAATATACACACACACACACACACACACACACACATATATATATATATATATCCATGACCCAACAATTACATTCCTGGGTATGTACCCTGGAGAAACTTTCACGCATGTGCTCTGTATCAATCAGGGTTCATTTTCGAGGAACACAACCTCTTCTAGCTAAATGAGCAGGAAGGCATTTATGAGAAGTTTTTGAATGGCTTTAGAATTATTGAGAGGGCTGAAAACTCTAGGTTGTGCTCTCAGGAATGACTTCCTCAAATCAGAGAGCTGGGCCCGCTGCCTCCTCTATGATCAGGGAGCTGCTGGCCCCAGAACCATATTGCTGCTGCCAGGGTCGGTAAGTTGTCACAGCAGGTAACTGTCACAGTCAGGAAGCTGCCACCATCAGAAAGCCGCTGCTATGGCTGCTGGATCCAGACCAATGCCATGCCTGCTATGATCCACACCAACAAAACAGATACTCTGCTCTGGCTCCTGACACCTGCAAAGCGCACGACTAGCTGCTGGGGCTCGGCCAGCACGCGCTCCCTGAGCATGCTCATCACAGGGAGCACAAAAGGAGCAGCAATGCGCTCGGCCTCACTCCTTCCTTCCCAGCCTTGTTAAGCTCGTCTGATTGGCAGACTCTACATCGCTCCTGGAACCTCTCTCTACTGGAGAAGGGGAATGGTTTGTAGCTTTCTAGTTTCTGTACATGTGGATCTCCATCGGCAACAGGCCACATTGCTCCTCAGTGGTTACTCAACACACCAACAAGCAGGGTGCCCTGTTCCCTGACTTAGATTTCCAAACAACAACTGCCTGACAACAACTTAACGGATTTTCTCTGTCACTCACACAAATAACTCACTCATCTCCACTCTAACGGGGCAAAACTCAAGTCCTAGCAATCCTTGCATCTAATTCTGGGAGTTACTCGTTCTCTCTTTATTTCAGTTACTATTCTATCTTGATCTCCAATGACCTATGGACTAGGGTGTCAGGCCCTTGAATTTTTATGAGGTTTATATTCTACCTTCTCGTGTACACCTGTCTTAGGTAGAAACTTAGGGTAACTGCTACTCCTCCTTCACCAGGTGCCATCAATGTCATCATCAGCTGGATATTCTGGGGAAGGTGAGATGATAACTGACGGGAGCTGGAGAGCTTATTGGCCTGTAGGCAAAATGGTAATGGTGCCTGCCTCTCTGTGCCTGTGAAGGCCTCTGGTATGTTCTGCTTATTGGGATAGGGACAGAGAGTTGCTAGATCAAGAGCTACTAATCAGTCGTTCCCCAGTGAAGCTTGCATTATGGACTGAATGTTTGTGTCCCCCAGAATTTGTATGTTGAAACTCTAACCCCCAGTATGACGGTATTAACCCGGGGCTTTGGAGAGGTTAATGAGGTTCAGATGAGGTCATGAAGGTAGAGCTCTGTGGTAGGATTAGTGCCCTTCTGAAAAGAGGAAGAGACGGGAGGTCACTCCACTGCCCCCATGGTGGCATCCAGCAAGAAGGCAGCTGTCTATGAACCAGGAAGAAGGCCCTCACCAGACAGCGAATCTGCAGTAACTTGGTCTTAGAATTCTCAGCCTCCCGAACTGTGAGAAGTGTTCTGTTTTGAAGCCACCCAGTCTTGGGATTTTTTTTTTTTAAATTTTATTGGGGAGCAGCCATGGTCATTGGTTACACATTGCTTTCATGCTACAATGGCATAGTTGATTCTTTTAAGGAGGGCACAGCTCACCGTGGCCCACCATGTGGGGATCGAACCGGCAACCTTGGTGTTATCAGCACCACACTCTAACCAACGGAGCTAACCAGTCACCCAGTATTTTGTTATAGCAGCTCGAGCTGACTAAGCCAGCTTGTGATAATCCACTATCATTCTCCAAGAATGTCTTC